CCAGCTGCACAGGTTGGCTGTGATGCACAATGACCCTGCCTCCCCGTGGTCTCTGTAGATCTGTGAACTGATTACAAGGATGGACCAATAGATGGCAGTAAAGTGCCTCAAGGAAGGGATTCCTTGGGGACCCATCTCTGGAAGACTAACTTAGCAGATCAACATTTATGTTTTTCTTTGAAGGCTTATACATGTATTTGGTAAGAGTGACAGAGAAAGAGAGGAAGAGACAGAGATCTTCCTTCTATTGGTTCACTCACCAAATGGCCACAACTGCAGAGACTGTGCCAAGCTGAAGCAAGAAGCTTCATGTGGATCACCCATGTGAGTGCATGGGCCCAAATACTTGGCCCATCTTCTGTGGCTTTTTCCAGGCACATTAGCAAGGAGCTGGATCACAACTGGATCACCGGACACAAACGGGTGCCTGTGTGGGGTAGTGGCTTTGCTGGTGGTGGCTTTCCCTGCTGGCTTCCAATCATTTGTGTTTTTATTTGAAAGAAAGAGTGATGGGGAGAAACACAGAAACAGAGGTCTTCCATTCACTGATTCAGTTTTCCAAAGGGCTATAACAGCCAGAGTTGAGCCCAAACAAAGAGCCTAGAACTCAGTTCAGAGCTCCGATAGGCATGGCAGGGCCCAGGCACATTAGCAGGGAGTTGGATCAGAAACAGAGAAGCCAGGATTTGAACCATTGCTCTGTGAGGGGATGCTGATGTTGTCGGTGGTGATGTAACATCATTCCATAGCCAACAATCACTTGTGATACTTGGGCTTGTACCCAGCTGGAGGTACAGGGAGTACTTGGAGCTTGCAGACTAGATGTGCAGGGCAAGTGACAGACCGGTGACAGGTAGTCAGGACGTAGAGTCATCAAGGATAGAATGGTATGAGGTGGAAATCCTGCAGGGATGCTGAACTGGTTATGGTGCTGTTGAGGAAAGCGTCTCTAAGTAGGTTTCCCTGGTGAGGCTCTTAGAACCTGAGAAGGAGGCAGATGGCAAGAAAGCATGGCAAGCTGTGGGGAGAGTGTGTGCCAAGGCTCAGGAGCATATGAGCAGATGATGTGTTTAACAGATCACAGGAAAGTATGTGTCCATGGAGTAGGGGGCAAGCCAGAGGAGAAGGGGGCCACTGATTAGCAGAGGTCAACTCACAAAGACCCCTGCAGGTCTGAACTGACTCCTGAAGATCTTAACCTAGGAGACCACTTGCAGAGGCTGGGTGGTTTTGAACAAGCTTCTCCATCAGGAACAGGTAGGGCATGAGTTCAGTGGTATCACTTCTCAGCGCTGCTTAGAGAATCACATTGATAGGAGACTGGGAGGGACTTGCAGCTGTGTGTTCTAGTTACCCATTCATTATGGTTAGCAGCAGTCAGCACTCATTTCATCAGAGGGACGGATTGCAATTGCAATTTCCATTGCATAATCCCTGTGAGAGTAAGACGGTGTTGTGTGTGGTTGTGTGTCCCCACCACATGACACTGAGGAAGGAGAGATTGAACAGCTGTTGGTTCTTGATTGTTGTGAAGCCTGTATCAGGACCTGGGAACATCCCGACAAAGGAGGTGTCAGGAACTCTTCCCAGTACCTTGTATACTTGGTTTTCTTCAATACTCTCTATAACCCTAGGAGGAAACTAGATCATCATCCCCATTTCTCAGTTGGGAAAATTGAGGTATCTGGAGGTTGAAAGATTTACCCAAGGTCACACAGGAAGAGAGTAGAAGAGCTGGGGTGATGTCAGCTCTGTGTCCTGTGCCCTCTCCTACCTTGTGGTGTGAATGAATGGACTCTGGGCCCTTCCCTGATAGATGGTGTTACCAGCTGATAAAGGGCACAATAGACAGCTGGGAGGTTGAGTTTTAGGCTGTGTGGGAAGTTAGCAATAGAGCTGAGTTGCCTACGCCTGTGGGACTCCAAATCTGTATTGTTCCAGTATGGCAGTGTTGGTGGTCATAAGCTAGCACACTGAGACCCATCTTCCATCTCTTATATCAGAGCTGGAAGGAAGCCTGTCCTGGTGGCGGGGGTGCTGTGGTCCTCTCTGGACAGATGGGGCAGTCAGCAGAGGGAAGTAGTCACAGCCAGAAGGATGCTGCAGGTACTGTCTCAGTCCATACTCTGTGTTCCCAATCCCAAGAATATCCTGGCCCTATTCCAGGGCCTCCATAGGCTGATCTTGTCTATCCTTCCTGGAGATGGACAAAGGAAAATCGTTGATGGGGCAGGGAAGGGGTGAATAGAGAAGGAATAGATGAAGCTTCACTATATGGTCTGAGCCATCCATGGACTTACTTGCATGAGAAGCTTATCGAGCACAATACAGAGAAAATGGGTGGGCAGGAAATCAGGGAGGGTCAGAGCTTAGGGCTAGGAGGCAAGAGCTGACAATGCTGTGACACAGTGTTCTGGGTCGGACTCCAGAGAAGTCTAAATTCTGAGTCCACAGGTCGTGAGGATGCTGTATTTGTCAAGGATAGAAGAGACATGCTTCATTTGAAGGTTTGCTAGCTTTTCTTCTCCATGTTGAATGCTAGATGTGTAACATACAGGCCTTCACTTTTTGTTCTGCCCCAAGCTCCGTACTTGGTAAAGATGGATCCGTTCTCATGTCTGGAATTTGCCAGTTGTACCTTTAAGGACTCAAGATAAAATGGACAAATCGTATGCAGTATCACCCTTTGAGTGATGCTGGTAACACACAAGTTTTTCTTGAAGGCCATTGCTAGGGGGGGAAGCACAAATTTTGTTTTCAAGTCATCCTAACAGTTTCTGTCCCATTCATCTTCAGCCTCACTGACTTTAAATGAAGTGATTTTACCATTAGAACTTTCCATCAAATCTGAAGTGAGACTTGGGAAGCAGGATTTGTAGGAAGGACCCTGCCCTAAATGCAAAGGCTGCAAATGTGGAACATAACATTCATGTTCCAGGGGAAAAAATAGAAGAAGCCAAGAAGAAAGCCCCTAGATGTAATGTTTATAAAAATCTTGATTAGAACTCAATCGTGGCTGCACCTGCTGGGGAAGTTGGGATATGCATTTGAAGTGCCAGTGTATACACTCTCTTACTGTGGGGAAAAGGGAGAATGAGTGTTGGAAAGCAAAACGCTGGCTATGCCAGGGAAAGTTTGTGGAAGTGCTGAACACAGTTCAAAGCAAGTGACAGAACCTTTCATTTCCTTGCCTTATTTGAAGCTTTATTTTTACTTAAGAGGCAGAGTTACAGAGGGAGGGATGGAAAGAGGGAGAGAGAGCAAGAGAGAACTTCCCCACACTGATTCATTCCCCAAAAGGGCTGCAACAGCCAGGGTTGGGCCAGACCAAAGTGAGGAACCTTGGAACTCTATCTGGATTTCCCAGTTCTTGAACAGGGATCTGGATCAGAAGCGGAGCGGCTGGGAATTGAGCCACATCCATATGGGTTGCCAGTGTCCTAAGTGATGGCTGAAACCACTATGCCTCACCCACTGCCAGCCCCAAGAACTTTCAGTGTGATAATACCAACATCAAAAAGTGCAAATAAGACCTCTCGGCTACTTTTGGTTTGTGTCTGGGAGTGTATCTTGATCTGTAAGCACCCAGATGTTAGGTGCTGTGCAGTTAAAACCCAAATTTGAATCAATTTAGCAAAGTATTTAGTCCCTCTGCGTTCCTATTTCCTCATCTTCAGGATGTCAGTAATGCTATCCCCTTCACAGTAGTTGTTATGAGTATGAAATGAGAAAGGCTATGTATTATACCTTGCAACATAGTGTGGGTGCCAAGCATTCAACAAACATTTATTTATTTGCCAATTTTCTGTTTGTCCATTTAACAAATATTAATTGAGGTCCTATTGGGAATAGGCTGATGAATACGATTAATTGTTCCTGCTGTGTTATGGTTTAGTGGGACACACGTGTCAATTATGGCGAATTATGATTATAATGAATTATGGTGATGGTAGGATAGAAACAGAGTGTAAGGAAAGGAATCTATCGGAGAGAGGAATTGTGGGTGAGGATTTGGGGACTTAGGGAGAAAAACGGACAAGCGGATGCCATCGAGAAATCATTACCGTGTAGACTAAATGGAGATGGGCAGGGAGAAGGGTGCTGGAGGAATGTCTGTGTTTCTTCCTGGAGCCATGGGTAAGTGTGGATAATTTTTACAGATGAGGGCAACAGAGGCAGCGAGGAAAGAGAGTTGGTGGAAAGAAGGATAATGGATATGTAGATGGGTGGAAGGAAGGAAAGGAGGAGGAGCAAAGAAAGGGTGCTTCATTGGACAAGTAGGGAGAGAAATAAATAGATGACTAAATTGGTAATACATCATTGATGGGGTGAGTATGCTGTTATTCAAATACTGCACTGTTTATATAATGGCCTTTATTTAATACTTGAAATAACCTTACCACATGTGGCATAAGTGTTAACATCTTTCTTTGACAAAAGATAGAGTTGAGTCACTGGGAGTCCAAGGGACTTCCTGGAACTTCTTGTGTCTTGGGGCTGGTATTGTGGCACAGCATCTTAAGCTGTTGCTTGAGACACCAGCCTCCTGTGTCAGATTCAAGACTGGTTTTTCTGTTCTGATCTAGCTCCCTGCTGACACCCAAGGACTGGGCACCTGCCACCAACAGGGGAGACAGGCGTCTATTGTCTGGCTTCAGCTTTCCCAGATTGGCTGTTGTGGCCAGTTAGGGAATGCACTAGCAGATTGAAACCCGCTCTCTCTTTCTCTCTCCCTGTCTAGGTTGCTCTGCCTTTCAAATATGCAATAAGTAAATCCTTCTAAAAAATTCTTTCTCTTAACAAACAAAATGAGAGTCTCCAGTCTCCCTCTCCACTCTTACCTCTACTACACACTAACTTCAAACAATGAGAAAAATCAGCAGTTGAGCTGAGAGGAGAGGGGGAAGGTGGAGAATGGGAGAGGGGAAAGGCTTTTGGGCAGAGAAGAAAGTGAAGTGGTGTGCATCCTGACTTAGTAGCTTTCTTTCTCATCTTTGCAGGTCTAAGTATTTCCAGGGGAAGAAGGTGAATGGGGAGATTGAGATCCGAGTGGAACAGGTAGGTGGGAATCTGAACACTTGTTTCCCTCATTAACTGCATCTTTCTAATACATCTGTTTTTCTCAGCTTTAACCTCATGGCTTAGTAAGAGCATCTTACTATACATTTAGTAGAGTGTTTAAATATGTCCCAGCGTGGGGGCCTACTGCGTTCTGTGAGATAGCTTCAGATAAAACACGTCCTTGAGATCACATGCTTCTACACAGTCTGCTTACAGTTTTAAAAGCATCACATGTTGATACTCTATATTCATTAAACCAAGAAACTCTTCAACCTCACCAGAGGACTGGATTTTTTTTTTAATGAATTTTAGCATCTTGCCATTTTCACTTCGCAAGTATGCATATTCAGGCTATTTTTTAAAGCAAAGGTGGATATATTAATATCACATAATGTAGAATTCATGACAAAGATGAAACAAAGTATATATAAATATACAAGGGTATAATTTGATGAGGACAGTGTTTTTATATATCTATGTACCAAATAATAGGGCAACCATTTCTAACTAGATAGGTAGATAAACAAACACAAATGCATACCCACATATATAAATTTATATAGAAATGCATAAATTAAATACATACAACTTTCACATATAAGAGAAGATATGGTACTCGTGTTTTCTGTCTGGTTTATTTCCCTTAGCATGTGGTCTTTATTTCCTTTTATTTAGTTGTGGCTGTCAGGACTTTTTCTCCTGTTGGAGTACTTTTTCCATTGTGTATGTATACCACATTTTCTTTATGCGCTCATCCATAATATCTAACTTGACTCCATCCCTTTGCTGTTTGTGAATAGTGCCTCCATGAGCATGGACCTGCAGGTATCTCTCACATGCTGACTTCATTTCCTTTGACTATTTTCCCAAACAGGGAGTTGAGTGTGTTGCACTGTCACCTTGACCTTTTGTGCAGTGGGGGTCATTCCCATGGGCAGCCTTCATTTCCATCTTGTCCTATTATAATGAGTTAATATTACCAGAAACATTCTTGCTTACGCTAGAGAGTCTCATTAAATCAGAATTATTTGGTTCAGTGATTTTTCAATGTTTCTGGTTTAGCAAACTTTCTCCAGAGGAAATACCAAGTAGAATGTTAGGGCTCCGATGGAAGTGGGCATGGGAAATTCAGGTCTGTCTGTTCCTTGCTGCTTGAGATGGGCCTCAAGGAATCTCCTTGGAGCCACATTTGCTAGGGATTCAGACCCCTGGTACTCTTGTTTTCTAGATGTTGAGTGAGTGACTTAATCTCTTTGTGCTTCAATTTCCTGTTGTTTTGGATTAAATTATTTCAACCCTCAAAAGAGATTGGAGCTGTGAATACTGCCTGTTGTTATTCTCACCATTAATGTCTAGGGCCCTTTGCTGTGTGGAAAGGAGTATGGATTTGGCCAGGTCTACACACAAAGCAAGCCACGGCAGTAGGAGCGAAAGGCCCGGGCTCCTGACTGCGCTTCCAGTGGTCCTCCCATTCCCTCAGTGAGAACATCCCTAGGTCGGCCACTGTACTTGATCTGGGCAGATCCCCACAATAGAACTTAGGCCCTGGAACCTCAGTTGAAGCTCCAATGCCAACGCTATGCTTTTCTGCATTGTCTTTGTCGGGCCATACTTAAGCTCTTTCCATTTTAATTTCTTCATCTGAACCATTGGAGTAATAGTGGCCTCAGCCTATGTTTGTATGGATGTGCAAAGGATTCAGTGAGTTAGTGTAAGAGGAGTGTCTACATCAGTGCCTGCCACATGCAAGGCACCCATACATGCTACCTGTGAGCATCGCCATCATTCCTTCCTCCTTTTCCTCCTTTTCCTTTTTCTTTTTCTTCCTTTTCTTCCTCCTCTTATTTTTGCTCTTCCTTCCTCTTTATCTTCCTCCTATACTTTCTTCTCTTTTTTTCTCCTCTTCCTTTCTACTCCTTCCCCTCACTCTCCTTTTCTTTCTCTTCCGTCATCATCAGCAGCAGCAGCAACAGCGGCAAACAGTTAATAAGGTGACCGAAAGACCATGTTATTAAATGAATCCAGAGGAGTTGTGTGTGTGTGTGTGTGTGTGTGTGTGTGTGTGTGAAAGAGGAGAGAGAGAGAGAGAGAGACTGTTCTCTCTGCACTCTGAGCTGTGTCCAAAGAACAGAAAGGCCTTTTAAGCATCAGACCAACTTGGCTCAGTATTAAAACACCTACACTTTTCATTTCAGTTTGATCCTGTGACTTTCAACTCTGTCCAGTATCCACTGATTTTCCTTTCATGACAAAGGATGGTTATTTTTGTTGGTTTTACAAATATTTGTCAAGTATCTACTGCGCTAGCCTGCTAACATGTGGGGAAGGAGAATATAGGAGCCCTGTCCCAAGAAGCGTTGGTCCAAGAGAGGAGGCAAGTTAGGTCTTGCTAGAACATCAACCCAGGGAAGGCAGAAGCTCAAGCCTTGTGCTGTGCTTGATGGGAGGGTGTGGTGTACAAAATGAACTGTGGGATGGGTAGGATTTCAAGAGCTGGAGATGGTGATGTGAAGAATATGGGAGATGGGCATAGTGAAGACAAAGGCAAGGAGACCAGAAGTCTGGGATATGAATTAGTGGGGAGTCTAGCTTGGTGGCCCCCAGAAAAGAGTGCTTCCTCTTGTCTTGCATCCCACCTGTTCCTCCTCTTTATTGCCCCCTTTGTGGAGTGCCACCGTATACCTTTCAACCTTAGCCAGAACCTGCACAGTGCCCTGGATGGCCCTTTTCTCCCCTTCCCCACCACATCCATTCAATGACCAAATCCTTTTGACTCCACCTCCCATAATTCTCTAATCTGCCCATGCCTATTCATCCATTGCCAAGGCTTTATTTTGGCTAGACCACTGTCAGCTCTCATTCAGTCTTACTAATTACTAGGCTCTACTCCATTTTTCAAAACATCCATTTCCAATTTACTCTTCATTGCAAAGCTGGAATAATCTTTCTAGAAAAGCAAATTCAATCCTTCAAATAGTTGGCTTTAAAGTCCTCTCCTTAAAGACTCCTTCTTGGATTCTTTTCCTGATGTATATCAGATAGCTTGATGACCCCCTCCTTTTGCACCTCAACATTTCCTTCCTAAGTATTATCGAAGTTTAAAAACATATTTAGGGTGGGACTGTTTGCATGCCATTATCACCCTGGCTGCTTGGATCTCACTTGGTTAAACAGTGCAGGACCTGGAACAAACTAGGACTGAGGGAAATATTTGCAGAATGAATAACTGATAGATTCCTCAGATTCCAGGCTCCTTGTCAGTTTCCAAGGGCGATAAATCATTGCTTCTTAATCTCCCCTGAAAAATCTAAGTTTTTCATAAACCATCTGGCAAATGCACATAGCTGGCCCTGTCTCTTCCCATTTGTGGAGTCCCTGAAGCATGCATTCATTTCCCCTTTTCTCTCAGTGCTGCCTGTAGCCCAATGTGTAGCTACAAGAATCTGTGAGCAAGAGTCACAGAGGGAATTGCCCACAAAATAACTTACCCAACGGGCTTGGGGATGCTCAAGATATAGGGCTGCTGTCACGCTGGAAACTTGACTAATCTAGAGTCATCCAAATTGCCAGCTTTTTCTCTCCACAGAGGCCAGAAGATGAATGAGCCAGGAAACCAATTAACGGATCAGTTGGGCATTTTTTCTTTCCCGTGGAAGACATACCTTCCCAAGTCTACATGGGAGCCCAAGTGGCTTGTCTTTTCCTGTCTGGGTCAATAGGTTGGTCACATCTACAGCCTTCCACCCCCAAGAACCTCATCTGCGTCCTCCAGCACTCGGAGAAAGGCCTAGGATGAAAGCCACTGTTTAGTCTGAGCTGGCCTCACATTTTGGGAGCTTGTCCTCCCAACTAAGTCCCAAATTAACCAGATAATTGCACTGTCTGGGTTTTGCTGGACACAGCAAATAAGTTAGTTGTCGTTGGCCTAGAGGAAGCCTCCACCCCTTCTCTCCACCTCTTGCTCCCGATTCAAAAACTGCTTGCCTGTGCTCTTCCTGAACTGTGGTTTTGGGGAGGTCATTCTGGGGAGGTCAGTGCGGGGAGCTGCAGCATTTTATACTCCATTACCCAGAATACCCTTTTGGCTCAGTAGGGCCTTACAGGAGTGTCATAGTGGAGCCAGAGAGGGTGGTTGGCATGTCGGCATCTCAGGTGTTTATATTTGGGACATCGGCTGTTTTTCTCCGAAGGTGCAAGTCACCCTCAGTGGGACTGAGAGTGAGGTTGATGAATGAATTGTCATTAAATTGGCTTGCAGTTGTGAGAGAAGAGGGACTAGGACTTGGCAGGATAGTGTCTGAGGGTCCAAAAAAGAGAAGACTGAGCTAGCCATCATCAGTCATTCCATAGTCTTTACTGAGTGTTCATGGAGTTACAGTTGCTTAAGGAACGGTGATATCATGCTTCAGTCATGGAAGGGCAAGAAGAGGTGCAAGCGTTCCCCATAAATGACTTCAGTTTATCAAGCTGGCCAGACCACAGGTTTCCATGTGGAAATCTGGTAAGTGGCTCCAGTTGAATCCCTCTCCATGTGTTGGAACTGGGATGAAATTAGGTAGATGTGTGTGTTTATCTCATGCTCCTAATATATTTCTTCATCAGAAATATCTATTTTTTGAGAACAAAGATTTGATTTTTTTTCCTTTAGCGTATTTTAAAAAATGGAGACCCCATATAAATTGAGTATTCTTTATCTGAAAGACTTGGGACTAGAACTATTCGAGATTTCTGATCTTTATGTAATAGTTGTAGTACGCCTTCTGCTTCAACTGTGACCCATCACCCAAGAGATCAGGTTTGAAAATTTTCAATTGTAGTGTCACTTTTGGTACTCAAAAGATTTCAGATTTGGGGTTTTGGGTTAGGGTGGGGGTGCTCAATTTGTCTTTTCTCTTATGCCTGTCTTCCTTCTACCTTCTTTGACAATCTTTGTTCAGATAGACCTTAGATATAGATCTTATGTGATCATGATGACAAAGTGAGAATTTAAGAAATGT